TTGGTGAATGTAATTACTAAACTGATTCCAGAATTCAAGCCAAGAAAAAGGATCACCGTAATATTTTGTAATCGTTAATTTTGGCAATTTTAAAGTATTAACTTCACAAGTTTTCAACTTCGGAGATATAGTTTCCTTCCTCACTAGAATTTCTAGATTCAACTTTCCACGCATTTTTTCTTAATTTTTTCCTGAATTTTACATTTAAAACTTATAATTCTTTCCTGATATTCCTGCGCGGAAATTACTTCTGTTTCCAACTCCTGTTCCGTAATTATAAGTTTTTCAATCTCAGAATCGTATTGTTTTCAACAACTGCGATTTTTCAAGTAACATTTCGAGTAATTCTTTTAATTTCTCATCCGCGGTTTCACCCTCTTCTAACAATGCAGAATCTATTTTACTCATCAACTTAGTAGTTAAGTTACGCGTCACCGTACGCAACTTCTTTGCCTTATTCATAGCCTCCATTTTACCATTAGATTCTATCAACTATAATAATCACCAAGATTTTTATTCAACAATTCTATTCAAAACTGGAAAAATGAAAAAGGGCCTACCTCGAATTTCTTCGCGTTAAATCCTGGCTTTTCAGTCATGAACTCACTATTTTCTTTTCTTCGTCCATTCTTCATCTCCACAAATCAAGTCCGGTGTCACCAAAAAAAATGTACGTATCCAAATGATCAGAAGGTTGTTGATGCTTGTTCCTTGATCTATTGCACCAAGATATTTTACTGTACATTTATTTACAATTTATTTACAAGTCGTATGCCACCTGGCATATTTACAAGCATTATGCTTCCTGGCATGTACATGATAGATACATTCTGCCACCTGGCATGTGAATTGATACATCATACTAGTTTTCTGCCACCTGACAGATACGGTGCAATTACCTCAATTAGTGGTAATACGCCCGACATTTAGCCGTTTCCGCTTCCCTTACGCTCTGTAACACAACTAACTCTTTGTGCGGTGCGCCCTATGGGCACAAATCATCGCAATCACCGAGGAGGCCAAAACACTAAGGATATGCCTTTATCTATTTTTTGCAGTAATTCCACTTTTTGTTTGATGGACATTGGAATATGCTTTCGCTTTGAGCCTTTGGTAGCTCCAGAATCGGAAATTCTTTTTGATATAATCGAAAGTTCAAGCTTACTTTTATAAAATTGCTCTAACAATCTGCAAAAAATAAGGAACAACGCAATCTGCAACATTAACTGAAATAGATAATTAGATAATTTTAGCTTAGCTTATACCATCCGTTATATATTAGATGAGCATGCATAAATGTATTATGCGCATGCGTAAAACGCAGAAAGTTTGTAGTTTTGAGGTCTGGATTATAGATCATTCCGGATTATGGACGTCGGATTAAAGACTTTTGACTGTATTTACTAGCCTGAATTCTTAGTGATCGTACATTAACCCTAGCATCAAGCGTAATTAAATATTTAACTTACCCAATAACCCACATGCATGAGACTTGCGGAGACACATTTCTTTTTCTAATCTAACATTTATTTTATCAAAACACATTTTCTGGATTAAATATGGAACACTTATCACACACATATAAAATGTCATAAACCACAAAATGTGAGAACCCAAAATGGAATAATAGACGAAAGCAGAACACATGTCCGTTAGCTAACAAATAAAATCCAGTTACATCACATATATATGCAGTCAAAATGTTCTCATATTAATTTCGTGCTGTGTACACATTATTATTATACACATGCAAGCTCTTTTTTTTCACTTTCACATTCTTTAACACACATAAAATTATCACATGGTCACACATCGCTGGCAATGCACATTCTGGAGTCGAACACCTATAGATAATCTGCTTGAGATGTTTTAGAACGTTACCTTAGGAGATGGATTTTTAAGCTGAGCATTTTCATCTAAATATATCGCAACCTTTTAGTTCTGCTTCTTTTTATGCAAAAATCACAACAACACTCAATGTGAATATCAGAAATGATGAAACTCCATCAGTGAGATATGCAGGGACAGAGCCCCGCACATCGTGCGTCTTGCTGATTGCCAAGCAACAGCAGGTAGGACATGGGTGAAGAAGAAGGGAAGAAACCAGTCTCACCGGTGCTTATATACACACGTGCAGTTCCACGATTAATATTAATTCTTGCGATGACAAACTGTGTGGTCTGAGAAGTTACTGTTCTCACAGTTGCCTTAGCAAGAACATTGTCAGTGCAGAATTGGAGGAGGGGGACAATATTTAAAATCATTCTGGTCTTGGCAAACAACTTGTATAGAATAGGTTATTTTATTTAAAATTAAAAATTGAACTGTGATGTTATGTTATGCTCTTTTTTCTATGATACTCAAAGCATTGAGTATCATAGAATTTGAGCTGGGGACTTTTATTATTTTTTAAACTATTCTAAATAAGAAATATTATCAGGAGAGGGGAAAAAATGCATTTTTTGAATATATTGCTGAAATAATTTGTTTTGACCGTTGCATTAACATACTTGCCAACCTATGACACTCAAAAATCAGGAGATTTTTTTAAGAAATCAGGAGATTTTTCACAATGTTAAAAAGACTTTTTAAATAAGGAAAATATAGTTTTTAATAATGAATTAACTTTAAATAGTAACTAATTCTTATGCAAGCAACACAAAAATACCTTACACATAAAAAACATTTTTATTACTTGCATCGTTTAAGAAAACAAAACAAAACAAGAAAAAAAACCTTTAATCAGTTTTTGTACAAATGGTATAAACAGTGGCGCATTTTGCTTTCTTTAAGAAAAAAACTTCATAATTTTGTTCATAGCAATTGCCACGTAGGCCTGCTTTCACTAATAAAAGTTTTCTAATGTGTCATCACTAATATTAGATCTAAATTTAGTCCTCGTTTTCGCAACAATACTGAAAATCCTCTCACACTCTGCATTACTATGGGGAACTGTCAAGATGGCCAACATAATTCTAGACATTTCTCTATATTTTAAAATTCCATCAGCATCTTTCAGTTTTCCAATTAAACTCCACTGGGTGTCAATCCTAGCTGATTTTATAACTTCATCCAAGTTTTCTAATTGTAAACTGCTATTATGCAGCTGTACAACCTGTTTCAATTTTTCCTCCTTTTTAGAACTCTTTTCAAGATTATAATAAATATCAACAATGTGTTCATCCACATTTATTGGTAAAGAAGCTACTCCTTTTTCAGCTGCTAAATTTAAGAGGTGACAGGTGCACCTCATAATCTGCAAATCTGAATTTTTTTTTCTTTCTGAAGATGCCTGCAACACCAGTCTTCAAGCCTACCAATACTGGTGCATTATCGGCACCTAGTGCTAAGCAATTATCCAGAGGGACTGCATTTTCTTTTAAAGTTTTAATAATTAGCTGTGCTATATTAAAGCCTGTCAAATGTCCTTCCAAAGTGGGGACAGAAAGTAAACTGCACTCAATTTCTGAAGACTCTGGATTAAAAAAAGAAACAACAATTGGATACAGTTTTGAATCGGTATTATTGCTTCCATCCGTAGAGAGGCAGAACGGAGCTGTTTTAATGCGATCAATAACTGAAGATTTATTTTTCAAATCCATTTCTTTAACAATTGCACCTCTTTTGGTTCTTGCATTTAAGTATTTCTTAGCGATTTCACTATCGGGAAACATTTTTCTAAATAAAGCTGCAGCATGATCCGATGCATTCAGTGGCAGGTTGTGCTCCAATAAAAAGGCAGAGAACAGACATTCTGCATTAATAACTTTTTGGTTTTTTGTTTCTGAAGAAAAACACAATTTTTCGTTTTTTTTTTTTCTTTTCTTTTTTTTTTTTTTTAACAGCTCATGTTGCCCTTGTGTTTTTGTGTACGCACATGTTTGAGACCATCCGCCCTTCCACCATGCGAAATCGAAAAATCGCAACGACAGGCGGTACACATCGCAAATTTATTACATTTCCTTGAGGAAATAATGGAAGGAAAGTCAACTGTGTACGATTTTTGAAACGTAAACGAGTATGTCACCTTTCTCGCAGACATAACAAAAGATGATAATTTCTAAAACTATTTCCCAAAGGCACGTGTACTCACACAACTCAGGACAAAATGACCGAAATAACTAAAGAACATCCAAATAACAGCTTGTTTTGTCCTCATTGGTTAATATATGCCAGATGACACGCAGCTGCGCACGATGCCCATTGGAGAACTGGAGAAGGACGTTTCTGGATACGCATATGCTCTCACTCACAAAGCAGAAGTTATCTAATTCGCAAGGTTTTGTTTTAGATATAATCTAGAGAAAATACATTTGCTTCGGACGTCCAAAATCACTTTTTTTGTTCATATAACAAAGTATTAAGCCAAGTTCCATAAAAATCGTAAGAAATTTTAAGAATAAGAAAAAGTCGGGAGAAATATATTGTAAATCGGGTTGGCGGGAGAGTGATCGAAAATCGGGAGTCTCCCGCCTAAATCGGGAGAGTTGGCAAGTCTGCATTAAGAATTAATTCATTTTTTAATAAATCTAATTTTAATTCTTCTATTATTACTATTTTTATATATTTATTACATAACAGTAATCTTTATATTATTGAATGCTTGAAATATTTCTTTATTGAATATGGCAATTTATTTTTTCATTCATTGGCCTGAAAATTAAATTTTACATGATTTAAAACTAAAGTTTAGAGTGTGGTAAAGAAGTTTCTTTGAATTTTTCAAAGCTGTGTTTTACTATTCATTTTTGTTGTAATGTGCCTTTTTTATTATAATAATGTATAATATTTTATATTTTGAAATGTACCAAAGTTACTTAGCATACAAAGTTAAAAAATTTATTTCTATATATCTTTATTCATATTTTACATATATTCAGAATTTATTATATGTCTTGAAGCCTGATATATTCATCAAAATTTACTAGCTCTTCTATGTATGCTTTATGATGATGTTATTTTTTATTGCCAGTTATTTATTATACTTTTTTCCTCTGTAGGAATTCTTCTTGAAGCGAATTCACAGTGTGATTACAGACTTCATTGTGCTAATGCCCCTTAAAGTACTAAATGTTTCTGCCTTTTTAGTTAATTGAAGCTAAGATAATTTTGTTATTATTTCTTTTTCTTTACTGTTTATTTTTTTTATGAAATATAAAGAAGATTTTCTAGTTTTAATATGTCGTAGCAGTAATTATGCAAGCAAAGTAAAATATAAATAAATAAAAATAAACTTTAAAAAAATGAAAAACCTTTAATTTCTAAGAATTTAGTTTATGTTGTTTTTAGGTTAAGGAACTTCGAAATCGTGGAGATGAAACTGCAAGAATTATTGCATCTTATTCACAAGAGGGATTAGAGCCACCATCCAACTTACCATTACATTTTGAACATTTATTAAACTTAGTATGTATTATCTTCTTACCTTGTATTTCCTGTCAATTCCAGCCATCTAACTTATACCCTCATTTTAAAATTCAGTTATCATTTCTTAGAAAATAATTTTATTATAATAGTGTTTCAAATTCTGTAATTTTTTGGTAAAAAATGTATGGTATATCATTGCATATTATTCATTATAAATATAGCTGAATTTGGCTTAGTTCAGATTCAGTTTGTATTTTTATACAGAGGGCATTGGGTATAAGATGCCTAAGAAATTTATTACAGATGAATTTCCGGCAATATAAAAGCATCTGATATTAAAAAATTGTAGAATATTGTTGTGATTAATAATATTGTGTGCAAAAAGCAGAGCTTGACAATCTTATAATTTCATGATGCCTGAAACTTAGACCTAGCCGTCACTGTGGACTTGGGAAACAGCCTGTATATAATAGGGTATTTTATCTAAAAATAACAATTGAACTGTCATGTAATGTTCTACTCTCTCTCTTTTTCTTTCTTTCTTTCTTTCTTTTTTTTTTTTTTCATGATACTCAAAAACATTGGGGCTGGAAGCATTATTTAAAGTTATGGTTGGAAGTTAATATGTAATTATCCGTCTCAATAACAAGTAATGTATATTTTTTTGAAACTACTATTATTTTAAACTGGAGTTTGAATTTAGCATACAGTTTGAAGGCAAGCGCTATAATGCAGCTCCAGTCTTTGATTAATTTATTATGAGTAATTTTTGTATTTTGATATTTTTGTAATAAATACTTTCCTCAAATTAGAAATGAAAAGAGAATAATGAATACAGTTCATTTCCCCCCCCTCTCTTTCCCTCTAAAGATTATGTATGGATCCTGTTTTACTTCTAAAAAAATAATTGAAAGCAATGTTCCTCAGTCAGTATTTTGCTCATATTTCTTTTCAAGATTATTTTAGGATTTTTTGCTGATCTTTATTATTTGGTAATTACCGTATTTGATGGCATATAAGACACACTTTTTTTCCTAAATTTGGTCTAAAAAAGGTTACCTGCGTCTTATACGTAAACGAAATTGCATTCAATACTTGTTTATTTGGCTTTTACGAAACGTGAGAACTAAAAGAAACCACGCTATTGAAACCTTTTTTCCTTGTGTGTGGCCATCTAAATAAGGGTGCATCTTATATGCCGTCAAATACGGTATTATATGCTGCAACCAGCATATCATTTCTGCAGAAATAAAATCTAATTTTTTTGTACTTGATTTCTTAAATGATCTGGCACTCTATTCTTAATTTGAGATTTCACAGTTTAGCTGAAACTTTTGAGTTATAATAATAGTTAATAAATTTTGGTATTTGCGTATTATTGCAACCACCTTGGCACAGTTCATCAAATTTTATGGAAGAAAAAGAATACGTTTATTGTAAAAAATTATACATTACATACATACATCCATATTCTATGTTTCAGCTATATATTTATTTCAAAAGACAATCATTAAACCTAGTTATGAATGGTTTTTTGTTTTTGCTGTGGTGGAAATTTTGTAGTGATCACTTTGAGAAAGAATTTGAAGGATTGTCCCTTTAGTGCTTTTGCAACAAAATAATGCATTCCTGCTGAAATTTCACTTCTTTCTTTGATCATCAGAAATTTCTATAAGCCCAAATTTTAAAATCAAGGGTAAGACAAAAAAAAAAAAAAAAAAAAAAAAAATCTATAAAAGCCATTGGAATACGACAAAAAGAAAGCATACGAAAATGCCAGTGTTGGAAAATGAATACTTGTCATGTACAGGTTTGCATGAATAATTGTTATGAGCATGGTTACCAGAGTTTGGTGTATTCTGCAGCTTTGACAATTTTTACTTAGGTGGTTGCGATAATACATAGGTACCTATATTTTAATGTATACATGTAGAAGGCTGATTTTCAAGAGACTGATTTTTTTCCCCAAATTTGTAATAAATATGTGTTTTTCTGTGAAATTTAATCGGGCATCTAATTGAGAGCTTTGTTTTTCTCATTTTACTCTCTCCAATTTTTCAGATAACTGATTTATATGCCAAAGATCCTTTAAAATTGGAATTAGCCATGGAATATTGGTGTCCAAGCGAAAGCCTGTTAGAGCAGTCTTATCTTCAAAGACCATCCCAAAGACAAGTAATGTTTTTAAAAATACAAATTAATTTGTTTTCATTTTAATTTTTCATCATTTCACTTCATGTTTGAAAAAAAATCATTCCTACGTTTTGCCTTAAAAAAAAAAAAATTTCTTTTTGATGATATGTTGCATTACTGTTTCTGTTATGTATTGCACATATTTTATGTTCTGATATGTGTTTGTTGCATATGTTTCCTATAAACATTTGTTACTTATTTCTCATACAGGATTTTTACAACTGTAAGACATTTGTGTCTTGTATCCATGCTATTCCTCCTGCATGCAATATGTATATTTATATTTTATCTTACATAATCTTACACACATACACACACATAGCTGTTAAATGATCAGATGCTTATCTGCATCATAGTTACATGGACAGATTTAATGCTTAGCTTCTTAGCTTTACAAAAAGGGAAAAGGAAAAACAAAAAGGAAAAGCTTTGACGAAAAGAACGCATTAATTTGTTAGTGAAAATTCTTGCAGTCCAGATCATTCTTGAGTATGTGATGTGTTCCATAACTTTTGTATATAGCAGTTTACATCTTAACAATGAACAGAGCGGAGCACATTTGTTAGCAAAGTGTGTGTGTGTGTGGGGGGAATAATGCACAATTAGTCGCAGTGGTATTTATAGTACAGATTTCCTTTCATCTGAATGGAGGAGATTTCATCGCATTACAACCATGATTATATGAACAGATTAATTTAGAAAGATGTACTTAAGAAAAAGTTATCACTGTTTTTAGAGAGGGAAAAGTATCCAAATTAAAGGGAGTAATTATGAAGCAGTTGTTAATTTAAAGTATAATTTATAGGTTACATATTTTTTATCTTGTGTATCTGTGCCTGTTCAACGAGAAAAAGGCTTGGTGATAGAAAAGCCTTTTTAGAGAAAAAATGTTGAAGCAGTAGGAAATGAAAAGAAACATAAAATTTGAAAAATACAAATCATAAAATGTTGACCATAATTTTTATTTATATAATTGCCAAAAATTTTTTTGATAATGATTGTCAATTGTCTAATTGTCAATTTTTTAAAAATGGTAAGTTTTTTTTAAAGTTCTTGCAATGTTTTAAAATATTATAAAATTGTTATGAAATAAATGTTCAAAATTTGGAGTCTTTGGAGGAATGTTTTTCACAAAATAATTAAAAACGTGTACATTTCTTGCCTTTTTTGCTTAAATATCACAATATAAATTTGGCAATTCTTGTACTTTGAAAGTCTGTTATAAAAACTATGTTAATCAATATGAAACAAAAATATTTCTCATTCTTATTTATAATATAATTCTTCTTATGCCATAATTCTTATATACTCATTATAAAACAAAACTAGTTTTTTCTTATTGTTGAGCAATGTCATAATTAAAACACAGAAAATGGTAAAATACAATACAGTATAATAATAAAATAATGACAAACTTCGCTCGTCCTCTACAAGCAAATCAGCATAATGACCTTCTGATGGATGTGGGATGCTTAAATACAGTTGCATATAAAAAATCTCATTTCCTTAATACGATAACTGGCTTCTAGCATTGTATAAATAGATCATTTCTAGTTATGATTTATGCCCATAAAAATCTCCAAATTACATTCTTGAAACAAATATATATAAAATTAAAAGGAAAAGTCATAACTAAAATGAATAATAATAATTTCTTCTTTATGGAGGCCCTAACCAATTTTTTCCCCAGGAAAGGTGTAACCAAAAGAAGTGCATCTAAAATGAAAATAAACCTTAAATACGTAAACTAAACTGAAAATAATAGAAAATAAAACAAAAAACTAAAAAATGTGTATTAATTTCCTCTGTTTAATGCTTCAAACAGAATGTGTCAAGGTAAAATTGTTTTGAAGCCTTAAACCAAGTTGATTAATTAGTTTCATTCCTCTGAATAATTTGAGATCCAAAACTTCTTTATTAGAATTAAATCTTCAGTTTAAAACAACATTTTGATGGATATATATATATATATTATATGCGATGTAGTTTTGGTAGAAGACAAAACCAATTGTGTAGAACAGGGGTTCTCAAACAGTGGTAGGCAAAGATGCAAAGTATTTTTAACTATTTAATTTAAAAATTAAAACCCCAACATCCTGATTGAGTTTTTTTCTCTAACGCCCGTAAATCTATGCGATCTGAGCTTTGTTTAAGAGTGGTGGTGGTAGTAGTACTTTGTAGTGGTGGTACTAAAGGTTTTCAATTTTTGTTTCGATGGTGCATGTTAGTCAAAAGGTTGAGAACCGCTGACCTAGACCATTATCCCCAATACGCATTAGTCAAAAGGTTGAGAACTGCCGGTGTAGATAGAATGATGGAATTGCAGACAGATAGGACTGAATTCAACATAATTTTATTATTGGATAAAACTATTCTGGAGACAATATTTGCTGCAATATACACCACACAATTTTGAAAGTATAACCTGTCATCAGACAACAAATGATACAGCAAATTGAGTGGCACATGTAAGTAGAGGCAAAGCAGAAAAAAGGGCAAAAGAGGATGCGTAGTTGGTTGCAATGCTATTTATAAGAATTTTCTTTAATCTAATTGGATGAGATCTATACACACAGGTTAAGATGACACAATGCAGAATTAGTTTCCAGATATTACACAGTTTCAAAAAATTTATTGCTATATTTAGAATAGAGAAAGGGAGTTCCCAGAGTAAAAGAGGAAAAAAGGGGCTTTTGCTAATTTAAAGTATAATTTATAGTTATATATTTTTTTATCTTACATATACCCCTTCCAATGAAAAAATGGCTCTTTTAGAGAAAAATTGTTATTGTCCTTGACAATTCATTTGTATGCTACATTGCACGATTTGGCATGAGAGCTACAAAATGTTGAAAAGAAAGTAGGTATATTGAAGCATTGGCAAATTACTTGCCAGAATGTATACCAGATTATCTTACCTTGGTCATATAGTTCTAATTTTGTCTATTTTAAAAAGCTTGTAGTTTTTTTTTTTTTTTTTTTTTTAATAAATAAATAATGTGCTTACCTCTCCTAGACATTTTTCTTTTTTGGCTTTTGTAAGTTGAATGTATGATTAAAACATGTAAAACAAATAATATTCTAGTTGAAGTATTATTTATTAAATAATTTTGTATTTTGAAGTATTTCATGCATGCTTTTAATGATATTTTTAATGAAATAGATTGCCTTGTACAAGTTTATTCGCATTGCTGGAGATCTGTTACCACCTCCATTATTTGTGCCATATCACCAGATGCTCACTAGTTTATCTAATTCACCAGGTTGTGCTCACAACTGCTTTTCCATGTTAAAAATGAATGGTAGGAATGGTAAGTGAGCCCCTTCTACTGTAAACTACTCGTAGTTTTTAAAGTAAAATTATAGTTTAAATTTTTTTTTTCTCATTTTGGTACTGTGCACTTTATTATTGACCATGAAAGTTGAGCGAGATTGTGTCAAACTTATGACAACCATTTTCGGTGAAAATTTGAAGGTGCAGATCACTCTTTATTTAGTTAAATGATCACAGATTGCTCATTATTTAATTTAACAATCAGCAGTTACAAATTATATATATAGTGTATAAAAAGCTAAATAAATGTGAATTTAAACTTTGAGATCATTTAATGGCTGGATTCATTAAAACTAGCTCTAATCTTTCTGGTGGCTAAAAATCTCTAACGTAGTATTTAAAATAGCAACAAAACTGTCCCTGTAGTGAACTTGGCATATATAAATTGATTTAAATAAGTGATGTCGTTCAGCTCCACTCTACCTTTTATTGTACCATTTAGCAATAATTCTGCAATCTTCTAATGTTTTGACTATGTACATTAACATTACCAAATCTTATTTCCACTACTTGCTGTTCTGTACAAAACACTTCCCAAACTTTAATCCTTTTCCCCTTCCTTTTGTTAAATGCTAGAAAAAAAAAAACAGAAAAGTAGTGGTTAACTTATATCCTTCTTTACATTAACTGGTTTGTTGAGGATCAGATTATATAAAACCAAATTAAAGATATAAAAAATATGTTGTGAAGTCATGCTTATACATGAGTGGCATTAAATTGCACTATTTGGCAGTGGATTTTATTTTTTAATGGCCAGTGCCTGTAATGTCTAGTGCCCACCGTTGGATATATATATATGAAATATGTAAAGAGGTGGATGGGCCAAATTTAGTCTTTTCCCAGCTGTCTATCATATGGTAATAAATAACTTTTGTTTCTTGAGGAGATATTCAAGGAAAAAAATATTTTACTTACATAATTTTTCTTTGCCTAATGCTAACTTTTTACAAAACTGCTACAAAATAAGAGATACTAATTTTGGTAACCAGTGATTTAATCTCAAGTGAAATCAGGGTTCAATGTTAAATTCATAAAATTATTTTTTATTGTACCCATGAAATTTAGCATGTAAAGTTAAGGGACATTCTGTTTTTAATGAATTGAAGTATAATGAATATTGGTTACTTTCTGTTTATCTTCAGTCCCTGTTAAACACTTGGCTAAATTGCTGTGATTTGGGCATATTTTTCAGTATTCACGCAACATAAATTAACCCACTGATGCACATACCACACACATTTGTTTAAGACTGAATTTTGTAGAAATGCAGTGCTATAAATTACATGCAAAGCATTAGAATGTGGATCAGAAACTGGTTTGAAGATGCTGGTATTTCTCGTTTCTTATAAAATACTTCTTTTTGTTATTGTTTATGAATAAAACAGTACCTGTAAGCTCTATAGATAAAAAAAAAAAGAAAACAAATTATTTTTGTCAATTCACAAAGTCACTAATGAAATGACAACATTTTGTAGGGGCACAGATAATCAAAAAGTACCAGTTATTGTACTAATTAAAATTTGTAGTGAACTGTGGCTGTATAAAACATCAGATTTTATCTTTTAGTATCCACTTCACCTACAGGGTTAAAACCTTCAGCACTGTAATTGAAACTGCATGTATAAGGTACTAATTAAGAAATAACTTTTGATTTTTTGAAGTCTTTTTTGGGGAGTCTTTCCCCTTCTCTTTCTCTTTTTTATTTAGTCTCAGTTTCTAATTTATATTTAGTAAATATTTTATGGAACCTCATGCACATGCACATCCAGGTATGTGCATGTATAAGTCATCTTATTAAAATCATATCATTGCTGAATTTAATTAATTATTTCTGCAGGTAGCCAAAGCAGTATTGTATCATGGGATCATTTCTTTGCAACACTTCATCGTTATTATGGCAGTTTACATGAAGAAGTACCATCTGCAGTCAATGTACAATATACTTACCCACAAAGAATGCACACCAAAGGAATTACACCACAAGAAGTGCAAGGACTTATTGCTGTTCTACAGCTGATAACTCAAGTTGTGAAGCTGGTAAGCCATTTGTAGTATTTTTATTCATGCCCATCTGTAATTTATAAATTTATAAGTTCTAAAATGCTCTTCTTTTATTATAGGATGAAATTGCTCGTATTACTTTATCAGAAAATCCACAGTATGTGCCAACAGTTGTACTTCTTGGTCTTATAACATGTAGTATTCCTGCCTCATTGAAAGCTTCTATAATCAATTGTTTAGCTGCGTTTGCAGCTTCTCCTGATATAGCTTCAAATATCTGGCAAGGCTTAGAAATGACACAGGTGAATTAATATTTATTAGCATTTACTGCTACTAAATGTTATCCTAATTAGTTTGCAATGTTTGTGAAGTAAAGAAAATCAGGTACTTGTCTTCCATAGCAGCCTTGACAAGAAAGTACATTTTATTGGAACTATTTGGGCTTAAGAAAACACGATTTTTGCCATACATTGTAAACATCTATGGAAATGAAACCGACTACTGTAAACAATAAACCGGCAATTCATTCATTATCTATGTAATACAAGTTATTTAATACACATATATAGAAGGAATTTAATATAAATTTGTATTTAATACAATTCTGACTACATTTTATTTAAAATATCAACATAATTAAGCTGAACTTATTTAATGTACACATTAATTATTGTACTATTTAATACAATTAGGTAAGCAGTTATTAAAAATAATAGCTTAAATAAATATGTCTAAAATTCTATTTATTACTAAATATATCATGAAATTATATTTATTATTTTACTTAATACAATTTTGGTAGCAGTTTATTAAAAAACATCTATAAACATACTGGAAAATTAACATTTTATGCACTTTTTTGGGGGTGGCCACAATACAGCAATTGCGGCTAATAATGACTCAAACATAAAATGTAGCTTCTTTTTTCCTTTGATAGAAGATTGAAAATGGTAAGCATAGTGTGTATTTTATAGTGAAGGAAAAAAAAAAAAAAACTTAATACTGGTGTAGTGCTATTATCAAAAACTAGCTGGATTCATTAACTGTTTGTTTTTTGCACATATTCAGATCAGTTATTATTTGTTTTTGCACAAGCACAGATCAATAACCATTTGTTTCTCACCAGTGCAGAAACATTCCAAATTCACTTTCTTGTGTAGGCCGTTCCAGAAGACAAGTACCAAAGATCAATTTATATAAATACTTTCTATTCTTTTTCTACTTTATATTTAATTACCAGTGCAGTTTAAATCATTGCTTATCAAACAGAAAAATAGTTTTAAATAAATTACTAAACATTAATTGCTTATTTTATTATCAGTTTAAACTCTTTATCATATTTTGCAGCTTTACTATGAATTTTATATTTCATCATTTTAGTGTATGTTGAAAAAGTAAATATGACCATTTGAAGAAATCAAAATGGGATCAGACAATTTATTTTTTAAAAAAATCTGTGAATAAGATTACAATAAAAAATGCAGTTCTGCCTCATTATATAGTGCTATTTATTAGTAGTATAAGAATTAAACTTCTATTATAAAACATGTTTAATTAAAATGTAGTTTACTTTATGAAAAATATTTAATGTGTATAGAGAATGAAATTATATGCCGTTGTATTTAATAATTGCTTAGCTGATAATTCTTCAAGTTTTGTCACTTCTGGTCTCCCTGTTGGTCAATAATTCTCCAAATTTTAATTTTTAGCCTTTGCTACGGAACATGTTTTTAGCAATAACAGAAATTTATTAAATTGGTAAAACTTAAATTGTGTAAATGTCTTCATCCATTCATAGTGATTTTCAGCATGAATTTGCTTATTAGATTTTATTTGATCTGAACTATCTTAATGAACCTCATTTGTAGAACTTTATATGAAAATTCAATCGATGTTCAATAAGTTAAATATTTGTATTTATTTATTTTTGCATTATTAAGTTTATCCACTCAGTAGTATATGCATTAAATATTATTTTGTCCCACCCTATTAAAAGACCTTAGATGAATAAAAGCTTTTCCTCTCTGCTTAAAATGTTCTTCATAAGAAAAGAAAAAAAAATTAAATTATCCAAAGAACATATAATTTAAAATAATAATCTAATAAAATATTAAATCTTTAATAAAATATTAAAAAAATTACTTCAAAATCATAGTTCAGAACTCGAACAATTTATTTAAACTTATAAAGTGAATTTAAATCAGAGTTCTTTTTTCCAATGTGGAAAATCCTGGTTTTTCATATTTTAAAGTTGGGAGCTACATAATGGATAGCAAAATAAATCGTTTAAAAAATCTAACAATATATAAAGGTAAAAAGAAAAGTAACAAATAAAATTAAGTGCAAAATGAATAAATAAATGTGAAACTATTGATATACAATCATCCCTCAGTTATCGCGTTTAATAGGGATCAGAACCGGCTGCAATAAGTGAAAAACCGCAAAGTAGTGTCACCCTCTCATTTTTAACATACATACATTTTTTGTGTATGTATAATATCAATAAGTGTATATGAAACCATATAAGTGCACATGTTATCATTAGAACATTAAAGAATAGTTTCAAACATGTAAATAAAATATCAATAGTATAAATAACATACATAAAATAATGAATAAATAACATAAATATGATACATGTGTGTGTGTAACATATGTAGATGTAACTAAAGTGCACATACTGTAAATATGTTTTTAGAACTCTTTTATTCTTATAACAACTTTTCTTTTATAACATGGTATGTAACTCACCTCTGACAATAGCTTCTCTTCGTTTGATCTTTATAAATGCCAATGAAACACCTGTGAAATGGCGGTGAAGAAAATGAAGATGATTTACTGCACTTAATGAGATCTCTGCACTTAATGAGAGCTTTACTGCTCCTCAGATGATGTCTCATCGTCAGGTGCTAGTGGCGCTGGATCGTCACGGGCAGCTTCGGATAGAATTTGGGTAGCTGCAGGAGGCAGCAGGGAGGAGCTTCTGCAGAACGTTTTCGGCGCACAAGGAACATCGTGATGGGAAGTTGTGAGCATTGTTTTTTCTTCTGAGCAAAGATGCACTTTACACAATGCCATTGCACCGTCAATGCAGTTACTGAATTCTAAGGCTCTGACCATGTTGTCGTCGATTTCTTGGGCCCTTTGTTGCAGAGCTCTTGCAGGTTTTCCAAGGTAAGGCTACATTCTTCAGCTTCGTTGTCCTCACCATCATCAGCTACCTCCTCTTCTTCCTCATTTGCCGATCTTGTCATTTTGACGAGTTCCTCATCGGTTAGGGGATTCGAGTGGCACTCGATCAGTGTGTTCACTTCTTCCCTCGTCATGTCGAAGAACCTTATCTACGGTGGAGTGGTTAACTTCGTCAGGTGTAAATCCCTCATAGCCACAGGTGACTTTTTTAGCCAGCCAATCAAAGACGTGGATTTTGAATTGTATGGACACTCCCTGTCTTCTGCTGCCATGCAGGCAACTTATGCGCCATAATATTTTTCAATTTTGAAGAATATTTTTAAACAATCCGTGATGTACTGAGGCCGCGATAAATGAACCGCAAAGTAGCGAGGGATGACTGTACAATTTAAAAATCAGAATATATAAAGATGTTTGTAAAATTATAACTCAGCTGTTTGAACTTTTCTGTATAATTAAATTTTTTGTGCCCTGGTTTTGATTCATTACACATTTTGCACTTTATGTTACTGCCTTATCTCATTCACAGCTGTCAGTGCCAGTTGATTTGAAGATACCATTTTTTATCCCTGGGTTCATTTTGCTTTATCTGTTTTTCCTCGTTTGAAATTTTGCTTGATTGTAAAAATGTTTAGATCATAATTAGGCTTATTTTACTGCTATATTGTATAATTCTGCAATTAAATTATTTACATGTGGTTTAGAGAAATGCCCATAATATATCAAATTGTGTTATAAGAGGAAGCATTATATGAAGGAAAATGTTCACATTTCTCAAATTTGTAATTGCATGAAAAATTTCGGAGACATATTCATAAAAGAATCATTTCAAAATGATTGGAATATAGTTATTCCATATGGAAAACAAAACTATAGATTGTATTCTGATGAATAAAAGGCCTTGAAAATGATTTCTAAAGGAAAACAGTAGTAGTTTCAGAACTTCAGCTAAAGTGCAAAATATATATGCTAGTAAAACTCATTACTCATTTAATCTTAAAATTAAAATTGTAAAATATGTAGAAGGTAATTAAAAAGAAATGTCTGAAAAATTTCTTGATTTTGAAAGTTACACAGTATTTCAGTTAATTTTTTGAAAAAAAAATATATTAATGAAGCTTTTTCCCTGCAAATTTTTAATAACAAATCTTTATTTCTAGGTCATTCCAACTGTCAAATCAATATCTGTTTACCATCCTTCTGGAATATTGGTATGTCTGAGATAATTCTTAGTTTAAAAGATATTTTAATTTTTTAGCTTAGACATTTATTTTAGGTGATTTAATACAAATAAATTTTGCACTTTTTTCTATTTGTATGTGATATGTAAATACTTTGATTTAATTATTATCTCTTGATTATATATATATAGAGAGAGAGATAGGAAAATATAAAGGATTTAAAAAGCATTTAGAAAACGAAAAACAATTTGGACAGAAATCTGTGCATTGTGCAGCTAAATTTAAATGAAATTATTCAAGAGTGCAATACTTAAATAAATATAATTATTCAAGAATGCATTACTTAAATAATTATAAATACATTACTAAATAATTATAAATAATTACTTAAATAATAAAAATTTTTGGACTCTGATGACCCTGGCATTCAGTCTCTGAAGCACTTCCTTTATATTTATAGAGCAGTGATTGTCTGGCCAGCAGGTACAAACTCATGGTGCACAATTGCTTTTGCATTAGAAAAAAAGAAAAGAAGAAGACCATAGACTTGACTTTGGATTTGCTCATTTGTGCTTTCTTCTGGCACGGTGAGGATGGCATGTGCCATTCAGAGTTTGCCAAAAGGGCAAACTCTTAGATTCCGGATCATATCCAAAAATCCATGATTCATCACCAGTGATTACATTATCCAGGAAATGGGGATAATCTTCACAAAGTTCTTTCAGTTCCTGACACATTTCCAAGTGATTCACATTTTGCGTATCGGTCAAGACTTTTGGCACACGTTTTGCACAAATTTTCCACATGCCAAATTCTTCTGATACAATCTCGTCGACAATAGTTTTTGTCAGGTTTAGTTGTTTCACCATCATCCAAACATTAATGCGACAATCTGCTGAGCAACTCGTGTACACGGATGACATTTTCTTCCGTTTATCGTGTTGATGGGCGTCCGCAACTTGCCTCATCATTGATGTTTTCCCGACTTTCTTGGAACGCTTCATCCCACTTCTTTGCCTGTGAATAGGACTTACAGTCATCCCCAAAGGCTTCTTTCAGCATGTCAGAAGATTCCTTTGTTGTCTTGTTCACCTTCACACAAAATTTCCACATGTAATGTTGCTCTTAACATTTTCTCCCATCATAAGTATGACAAGGTCACTACACAGTGGTTCATGCTGCAGCACTTCCTGACTTGCCAAGAGCACAAAAGCAACTAACCCCGGTACTGCTGGAAAGCTTAAGGTCTTTCCCATCCCTTTTCGCCGGTAGCACCACTCAGCATTCGCTTCACAGTCAAGTGGGCCTCATTACTTCCCGGACAAGCACTGCATATATATGATTTTGAATTAAAGTTGCCTCAGTAAATATCTTCAATAAACCAAGATTTTTTGTGGATGTAAGCCTCACACAGCAGTGAAAAAGGAAGGCCAAAAGCTTTGAAACTTGGCTCAATTTTTAAGAAGTTTTATGTGTGTCTCTAAGGAGTTTTTTCAAAATTTTATTAATTAATTAATTAATTTATTTTTTATTTATAAATTTAATGTTGAGTTGATTTGTAATGATTTTTTTTCATATATCTTGCCTTAATGATCAAATTAATCATTGCATAATATTAACCACAGAATGGTCAGATATACTGTAAAATAATCTTGCAAATGAAGTTTATTCTGAAATTTAACTTGATTTACCAGAATGAGCAGTATTCAGATAGCTTTTCCTCTCCTTTGACCACACTCAAAACTAGTTCAATCTACAAAATATTTCTCTGCGCTTTCTCTTATTCGTAACATTTCTCGTGATTATATCTCTAATAATTTGGAATTCCTGGATTCTCAATTATATCTCTGATAATTTTGAATTCCTGGATTTTTAAGGCTCAAATATATCTGAAAAAGAACCTTTGTTAGTCAGAAATCTAATGAAGGTTTCCTGGAGGATTTGTTGTTATAAACCTTCTGCTCTGACACCTTTCTTATAACTAACAGGGATGATGGAGAGAAATTTGCTCTGCTACTGGCAAGGTTAAACCTGTGAATATGTTTGTCCAATGTGCCATTACATTGAGCTCTTTAAAACAATGGAGCCATGAATTTCATATTTGTGTTTGGATATCCTTGGTATGTGTAAAACTGTAATAAACTATTTATTGAAAACTATGTGTTAAATATCCTATTTTATCAATGTCATAAACATGCCAGTTTGTGTATGTATGCAAAACAGGTAAATTTCAAAAAGGAATGAAAATCCTGATAGACGGCAGCATATTCTTCACACTAACTACTAATAATTTCTGGGTATTCTATTTTCCGAATTATTCATATTTTGCCTTGTGGACAGTTTTTAAAAGCATGAAATTCAAAGAATTTAACTAGCAGGACCATCTACACAAAAGAGCCATTACATTATAACCACCTTGTTAATAACATGTAGGAACACTTTTAGCCCTCGAAACTGCCAGCACCCAGCATGGCATTGACTCGATAAGATGTTGGTAGGTAGTCTGAGGTATCTGTTACCAAGCACTCACCAACTGGTCCTGCAATTTCCGTGCATTGCGAGGAGGTAGCGTGGCAGCACAGATTTGGTTTTCCGGGTGGAACCACAAATGCTCTATTGGATTAATGTCAGGTGAATTTGGAGGCCACGGCATGACTTGAGTCACTGCAATGTTCCTTGAATCACTCCCTGACGATTCGACTCTTATGACATGGTGCATTATCCTGTTGGTAAACGCTATCCTCCACCGGAAATACTGTTGGCATGAATGGGTGAACCTGGTCTGCAACGATGTTCACATTGTGCACAGACATCAGGAATTGTTCTATGTGGATTATGGGTCATAATGTGCTTCATGAAAACATTGCCCACACCATAATACGCCTGCAACTGGTTTGTCTCCGTTCAACTGTGCATCCAGGAGCCGGGTTTTGTTTGGAAATCGGTGTATTAGCACACGCCCATTAATGTGATGGACCAAAAAACATGATTCGTCAGATCATGCTACTTTTTAACATTCTTCTAATGTCCAGTTTTGATGTTTCTTGGCCCATTTCAGAATTTGTGCATTTAGATGCTTCCACTTTATGACACCACAAACTATTAGTGCACTTTTTAATATAAATAGAAAGTTGATATACAGGTAGACTTACTAAATCTCCCAATTTTTAACTGCACTACTGCCAGCTCAGTTTACAGAATATTTCTCCAGACTTTCTCTTATTCCTACCATTTCTCATGATTTTTATTAGTTGGATTTAAAATTCTGTTATTTTCAGCCCAAAATGAGATATTTGACATATAAATCATTTGATTTTTCTTTTGATTATCCATTTTTAAGAAAACAACAAATTTCATCAATCATACTGGTTTGCACGAAGTAGATATTTATCTAAAAATGCCATGTTCCAATCCTCCAATGGTCATCAAGCATAGTTACAGGTCATTTGGTGTATAACAGTTAATGAAAAAAGTAAGATCGAAACATTCATCTGCACTTCTAGAGTTGTGCAAATTTTGTGCGCTTGTTGAAGTTGTTTAAGGATTTGTCAGTTATGTCTTTAAAAAAAGAGAAATGTTCGTATAGTTTTCTATATGTAGAAGATTTTTCTTGTATTAGTTCATCAAGAAAATGTAGTGAGGGTACTGTTTGGCATAGCTAATGAAAGAAATTCATCTGCATTTCTAGAGTTGTGCAAATTTTGTGTGCTTGTTGAAGTTGTTTAAGGATTTGTCAGTTATGTCTTTAAAAAAAGAGAAATGCTCGTATAGTTTTCTATATGTAGAAGATTTTTCTTGTATTAGTTCATCAAGAAAATGTAGTGAGGGTACTGTTTGGCATTGAAATTTTTTGATTTCACATGGTGAGAAGGGAATTATACTAAACTATGTGTATGCAAAATTTTACTAAATGTGTGGACATGAAATGACAAGAAGAGTGTAAAACTGTATTGGAAAATTTTAAAAAAAATTCTGTGTAAACAGAGAACCAAAAACTTAGTGATGAAGAATCCCTGTTTCTGCTTTTTGTTTGAACATGATCTGCTGCTGAATGCCTTCAGTAACATTATAGTTTTATTTAGAAAACTATTTCTGATAGTGAAATGATACTGCTATTTATGGATATGTACTTAGTATCTAGTAGACTTTGAATAATCATGTACGGACAGTTATTCTGAGAATTGTTTTTTTCGTTATTTCTTTGTATCAACACATTCACTAATAGGCATTTGATCAATTAATTCTCAGATGTAACTTTTGTTAAATTTGAATTTTAACACTTGTCTTTTAAAACTGAATAGTAAAACTACACATTATAAAAAAGGATAACTTTCTTTTTTAGGATATTAAATATCGCTAAAAAATTTAGTAATAGTTTAGTGCTTTTAATTATGTGACTTTATTAACTATTTACTTTATATGATATACATTTGTTTATAGATGGAATTAGAAGAAGTTGAAACACGAATGGAAGAATATCCTGTAACTCGTGCTATGCTGACTTTACTTGATGCTCTTTTGAATCATCCATATCCTACCAGACTAGGCTCAGGCACCCGTCAGCCAGGGATTGAACCGTACTTGCAGTTTGTCAGGGACTCTGTTTTATTGAGGTGTAATTCTCGATCTTACAAAACAGAAGGTGAAAAGGTTGGTATTTTTTATGCCTATGCCATAATAAAATACTATTGCAGCTCAGAAAACTCTTTATCTCTGGACTTACATTTTTCTTCTCTCGATTGCAGTGGAAGATTATGGCATTATGCTTTAAGATACTGGAGAAAGTTCTTAAATCATGTCGTTTCCAGTCTAGGAGTAACAGTAATTTTAATGTAGAAACTAATATAGGAGTTTCTATTTTATCACAAATGCTGCAAGACAGTGGTCTGCTGAGGGTAGTTCTTCTCATTCTGGATGAAGGAATGAGAGTTTTGGATCAATATGCATCAGTGCTAGGTATACAGATTTAAAGTATATTTTAGATGATTTGTTTATTTTATTTTGCTGTATTTTTTGGGGGTATATGTATATAAAGGATGGATCATTTAATTTGTTAATGTGGAATATTGCACAAACCATTTAAGGTAAAAATGTCTTTAAAGGCAAGGACTATTAAAAATTTTAATTAATATGATTGAGGGAATTAAAAATATCTCTAAGGCAACAAGTAAATAACATTATGTATGTTTAGTTTGGAACACGTTTCCATAGTCATTTAAAATCCAAGCTCATTCTTTAAAGGGAAACCTGTATTATTTATTTATTATTCCTTGTACAAAAGTAAATTAATTCTGTATAAACGGCTTTTTAATTCAATGTATATTTCACAGATATCTGAAAAATTAACATTGGTAACAGTAAGTCTAAACAACTAAAATAATATGCCGAAAACAAAATAAAAAACCATAATTTAGTTAGATTATCTTAATAAATATTCAAAATAATATTCTTTTACTTAAAAGCATATTATAATTCTTTGAAGGAAAGAAAGATAAGAATGTAAAATTGCATCTTTCTTAGTATTCAATTGAGTAATTTGTGTCACTCCCTGTATGTTTTATGGAATCATTAGTATGCAGAGACATTAGAAACAGCCTAAGAACATAGGGTCATCATCATAATACTTGGTGCTTACACCAAGCGTAATGAACAAGCATCTATCCTGGTGGAACAAATTCTTCTAATGTTTCATCCAACAGTAGCAGTAACTCCTTATGTTAAAAATTTGTGTACATTTATCTTGTTAATATGCTGTTAGGAAAAAAATCATTCAGGTATCGTACTCGTCAAGTTCTACACTGTACATTAACAGCTCAAACTATGTGATAGTACACTTCTCTTGACTAATCTGGGTTTTGAACAGCCCAACAGAGCATATTATGCTGATTCATTTCGTTAGTGAAATGTCATTTGTCAGGAAATTATATGGATAGAAAAAAGATGTTATTATTCTGAATTATGTCTTGGAATATCTAATGCTGTTTCAATATGTGTATGAGCATTGCTTGCAGAAATTTCTGTTTTGGTAGCTAATTTCTCAAAAATTAGGTAGGATCATTGTTCATAACAGCTAACTTCACAGTTTCTTTCTTTCTTTCTTTTTTTTTTTTGTGTGTGTGTGTGTGTGTATGCATGTGTGGCTGATTGACTGACCGCGACCGAGATTTCCTTTTTTAGAAAACTATTTTATAACACAAAATTTTATTTACGATTAAGTTCTATAAGAAATAGTTTAGCATACAGAAAAATTACATGTTTTGTGTTTCTAAGAGTCTTAATGTGCAAGAACTACCGAAAAAATTTTGCCTTTTCCTTTACAAACAGAGGTTGCATTTTTATTTAATTCAAAATACAATCTTGTGCCCAGCATCCAGTCTGAATTATTCAATAATATGAATATTGCTTGTAAAAAAAATCTGACCAGTATACATAAAAATAAGCTGAAAGAGGCCAATGCTTATTTTTTTATTTATGTCTAATCAAGATAAAATTAAATGTCTTACTGTCATCTGATGATCTGAAAAATGATTACCGTCATCTGATGATTTTAGATTTACTTTCAAGCACTGCATATTTATTTCTTAACTTCAAGCTGCTGAACTTTTATAGCTTATATATGTATTATTGATTTATATTTATTGATATATATGAATCAATAATTTATTGTTAGAAAAGTTCTTTTATATATCATCTTTTCCATATACTATCTCCAAGGAACACAAATTCAATTTAAAACCATGAATGAAAAAAATTTTTGAGTCAGAATTTAAATTAGTATTTTAAAATAGTAATTTCAACTTTTATTTAAAAATCTGCAAAGAAAAATCTTAAATCGCAAAAATTCCAAAACCAAAAGTAAATTCTAAATGTTTAAAAAGTAGTTATTGTCAGTGATCACAGATTAATTGGCTTATCAAGGAGATAAACCAATCTACCATCAATTAACAACAACTATTGTTCATACAGTGCATTGTAACTGTACAAAGTACTGTACAGTATTATTGTACACTGTGCAAAAAAAAGGGGGGACAGTTCTATATCTCCCATTCTACTGGGCCGATTGACGAAATTAAAATTGCGTTCTTCATGTCTCGAAAGCACGACTTAGGATATATATTAGATTTATATACGGCATCGGTATTTTGACACAAAATCGGACATTTTCTGAAATGACATGCTTTTTTTTTCCCATATTTCTATTCTATGATTCAAATTACACCAAACTGCCAAATTTTGTAAACCGTGCAAGTAATTTTTAAAAAATTAGCCCTCAAAATTTTAGTTTCTCAATGTTAATTGAATTTGGTATATATTTGTTGATACAGTCAAAAGTCGTTAATCCGGACTCGTCGGGACTTCGGCGATTCCGGATTATCGATTTTTCCGGATTATAGATCATCAGTTTAAATCTCGTAAGATGGCATGCAGAAATTCTAAAATTAAAAATATGAAACCGTAATTTATGAAATAAAGAACAATTATGATCTAAAGGGTATCAAAATTTGCAAAAAGAAAAAGCTTAATATTTATTTGTTTACTTTATTAAACATTTCTTTCAATGTAAGTTGTTTAAGTTTTGCTTCGTTTCATGTGATAATACTTTCTCTTTAATTCTATTAAACAGACATAATTTCTTGTTCAGTTACAAAGTTACGCTGTTCAAGTCCTATAATTGCTGTGTCGAGAACACCGACTAATTTGTCAATCGAAATTTTTTCGTTTTCAATAACCTCTGTTACTTTCTTCGCTATCGAAAGCGAATTATAATGACGAGGAACTTGTTTTAAATCATATCAAAGACGGAGCATATCGAGATGAAATACTACATTTGGTAAGGAATTATAAGCCAAATAAAATAAAAAACATCTGCGCTGAAGATAAAGATAGTGTTGACAGATCAACTTCCAATTCATTACGCGCCCGCCGCGCTGCGATCCCCCCGCCGAGCAGCGTGAAATTGATAAACAGATTTCGGATTTCAAAACATACTTTCGCTTTAGATCCTTTACATATTAACAAATATATATCGGAAATTCTATTTGATATAATCGAAAAGTTTAAGCTTACTTTTATAAAATTGCTCTTACAGTCTGCAAAAAATAATAAGCCGGATCCAATTCGAAAATTAAAGAACAACGCAATCATCAACATTAACTGAAATAGATAATTAGATAATTTTAGCTTATACGTCCATTATAATAAAACGCGCACGCGAAAACGTATTCTGCACTTGTGCACACTCATATGCGCTGTCGTAAAGGGTCTTACGCGCACGCGTAAACGCCTATGCGTATGTGTCAACGTGGCGCATGTGCAGAAAGTTTTTAGTTTTGAGGTCCGGATTATAGATCATTCCGTATTATGGGTGTCCGAATTAATGACTTTTGACTGTATATCCTTTTTTAATAAACTTATTTTATTTTTCCTTTCACATTTTGAAATTTAGTCTCATTCCAAATAAAATTCACTCATTATTTATGATTTTTTTTAAAAAATTTGTAATTTACAATTATTTTTATAAATTTTTCAATAAAAAATTTGTATTTTTACTATGATCTTAAAGTATGTGTATTTCTAAGCATACCTGCAAAAAATTAGACTTTTTATTCAAAATTTTGTAAGATATACACAAATTTATATATTTGCATGGTTTGAAATTTGGCATCTTTTTTTTTTTTTTTTTTTTTTTTTTTTTTTTTTTTTTTTTTTTGAGCGATAGTAACGCCAAATGTGGTTTATGGGCTTTGTTACAGTGAATTGCCACAGCTATTTTTAATCTTATTTGAAATAAATTTTTACAGAGAATTAATTACAGTGAAATATGTTTAATATGAAAACTCTTAAGACAAAATATCAGTTAACACAAAATAATACAACGGTCCCGACAAACTGCTATATATTTTCATGCATTTTGTTTCTCTTAACATGAAATAAAAATTACTTAACACGAAAAGATATCCTTTCTAGGAATAAACAAAATAATAATAAAAAAAATAATAATAAACGCCCTCGCAGGCGAGATTTAAGCGGGGTATGAAATGAAAGAGAGGTGGTTTCACATGTTTCGTAGAGAAAGGAGGCTAACTGGCTTTGAAATACCCTCGGAATAGCCTGTGACAGGAGCCAGTTTTGTTAATCTAAGCTACTTTCACCTTCCACTTCTACAAACGCCGCACAAACATCTCATCTCTCATCAGTTGGCTTTGGAATTCGGTGACGAGTGCATTGCAGTGTGACTAAAAATTAGTGAATTTGTTTCATATGTTGCACTCTGCATGGAATTCACTGACTCTAAGGATGAATGAAGATTGTTTTCATCATGCACGATTCTCAAAAGCATCAGATTCTTTAGCTTCAAACGAAATGGAGAAGGAAAAGGATATTGAAACTGAGCCGACACTTAATGAAATGTTTGAAAATGTTTCTGTATTAATGGATTCTCCTACTGTATTATCAGAAGAATTCTCTGCAGTAGTTGGTGATAATGTGTGTATAGCCCCAAGTATGGCAGACAAATACATTTTGGAGTTTGTTCAAAGTTAAAAAAATATCATTAATGCAGATTCCGACGATGAAAATGAAATGAATGATGCAGCTTCTGTTCCCACGTCATCCGAAATAATTAACATCATAAAAAGTATGCGTAACGATTTAGACGCACATTCCAATGGTGAAATGAATAACAAAATGGACGACATTGAACAATTTGATGCTAAAAAAGACTATGCAAAGAAAATCCGAAAATTCAATAAAAGTTTTGTTTTTCAAAAAACTTAAAAAATTTTGTATTGTTTCATTTCTTGCGGATGTTTTGTTTCATTGATTTTTATTAAATACATGCGTATATACATATAAGTAAAATGTACTCTAATAAACTTAATTTTGTTAAATATTAACATGAAATTTTTTTAATACAAAAAAATATTTCAATCCCCTCAGTTTCGTGTTAAACGATT